CCCCTTTATCAATATCTCCGTGTGCATAAATAAGATGAAAGTCGTGTTCCCAAATCAAAAAGGACCGGAACTCGTGTCACTGGGCAGACTTGGTCCGTCTGCAAGTGTGCGGCCGGTCTCTCCCACGCAGATTTCTGACGTCCGGCCCCAAATCTTCCTCCCGAAGGTGGCATCTTTTTATAGGTTAAAGACAAGAGGGGAGTTGAGGCATGCAGGTGACAATGACAGAAGGAAAAAGAAGGCTCAAAGAGGCAGAAGAGTGTCTACTAAATCAGCGACGCGGCTCCCTTCCAAGTGGGATCAGAAGGAAGGGGGATTTCAGTTGGGGTTCAAGCTTCTCCCAAGGGCTCTTTATAGCACCGAAAACACACGTCCAGGCTCCTCTGATTGCCGAGACCGGATCGGCTGGCTCTCAGACCACCGTGTAAATAGGCTACCTGCCCCGAGATGCAAACGGCTACCGGTCCCTGCACACCCTCGCGGGCCAGATGCCTCGACGCTGAGACCCTAAGACGGGAGTCGGGAAGACAAACCAGGCAGCCGGGCAGAGTCCAGCTTCGGCCGTGAGGAACACGTCCCGGAGGGCTCCGCTCGGCCCTGCTAGGAAACTGCCGTCACTGCAGTCAACCCGGAAAGCTTCCAAAGTGGAACGGGGAACAGGAATAGAGAAGAAGGACACACCACAGTGAGGCAGAGTAGCCACCGCGTGGCCGGGGAGGGGAAGATGCCAGAGGTCTGCAGGGACGGACGCCTTCGCCGCGTGCTGGCGAACATGGGAGCCCCAATTTCCTCCACGAACGCGCGAGGAATTTCGACGCTCAGGTCAGCAAGAGCACTGGACACGTGGGTTCCAAGCGGACCCGTTCCTGCTTTGCCCCATGCGCTCGTCTGCTTGTTTGTTCATTCACTCGAGAAACGTGCACTTGATGTCTCTGCCTCCGAGCCTACGATTCCTTGATTTGAAAGGGTCACCAAAGAGCTCCCTGACTTCGCCCTATGGTCACAACGTGCGTGCTAACACTGGGACCAGAGTCCCGCCTGGCTGCTGTAGGCCCCACACCCCGACCGCACACAACAACACAGCGTATGGTGCGATACGCAACTCGCACGCCAAGCGTCCTGGAGTCCTCGCCCCACAGACAGCCTGCCGCTGCCCCTCCTTACGCCCCTAAAATCTAGTAAATTCCATCCACTGTCACCGCCGCTCTCCTACTTCAGCATCTGCACTTAAAATCAATATTTTAAGTGTGTGCTTAAATGATATCAATAGCAATTAGAGAGGGGAATTCTGATTCCACCCCAGACGTAGTTAATTGTCGTGGCATCGATATCCTCTACCCTGCTCCTTTCTCTGAATTAAACCTCCATTACCGAGGGGGGGGGGTGAAGGGCATCCTCTCCCCTCCTGAGACAATAAATTTAATATCGAATGCACTGGGAAAAAATGGCAGTTGTTGCAGAATCCATCCAAAAAGATTTTTTTTTTTTTTCTTCCTGGGAGTAATTAAAAGATGCTTTTCTTGACTAATGATTCCCCGGTTTAGGAAGGGGAAGTCAATACCGCTTCACCGCCGTCAGCTTCGATTGATCACAACGCTGCTCCAGCTTGAACGGCAGTTCTCAGGGCGGCTGAGAATCCCTGGAACCAATTACGAGCCGTCCGAAGCTGCCCTCATCAGGGGTGCAGGGACAGCGAGCAGAAGGCCAGCCAGCTGGTCAAAGGCGCCTGTTTTCCCAACTCACCCGCAGGCCTGGGTGACGCCGGTACGAGGTGGTTTCGGGGAACCGGTTGTTTCTTTGCAGAAAGATGGGCTGTATTCTACTTCCCCACGGTCCTAACTGTGTGTGTGTGTGCGCGCCGTGTGTGTTTGGGGAAGAACGGCCCATTTCTAATTATATTCCACTGTCAGAATGAATCTTCTGAACAAGACGGAATGGACGGGGCTGCTTGGGAACGCAGCTGCGCCCTTTTCCAAAGAATTCCAAAGATTCTCTTTTCCAAAGAGATCCAAAGCTGGATCCATGGCACTTGGCCTTTCCTTGGATAGGAATAAAAATTTATTAAAGTATTTCTTTTTAGAAATTACCTTAGGGCCAGGTTAGAAGACCTCCCCCCTCCCCGCTGCTGTTCGGACTAACGATCATGGTCTCTGCAGAGACCACAGGTGGTGGGTGTTGGGGGGGAGGGGCACGTTTCCTTGTCCCAGGATGGCGGGATCCAGGCTCCATATCCACTCTCCTTTCACAGACCGAATTCCACGCGGAGATTCTAGCCCCAACTTTGCGTTTTTCCTTTCTATGTGAGGAAACTGCATGAGGCAGTGAAGATGGTGAGGGTTTGAATTATTGGTGCACCACTAATGCAAAGCTGTTTCTTTGTTTTTGACGGTGTATATCTACGCCTTTCTAGGTATAACCCGCCGGGACCACAGCCTTCCAACTGGCCTCCCTGCCTCTTCTCCATCCTGTCCAACAACGTTGCTAGCTGCCTTTAGCACTCTTGGATCAGGCGGATCACACGTGAACCCCTAAACCCTCACCCTCTGGCCACTCCGGAGGTGCTGTTATAATACACCCAGTTCAAAGGCTCTCCCCAGTCTTTGCTCTGCTTTGGCCCCAACATCCCCCCTCCTCCTCATTTACCTGGTGGCCCAGCTCTATGGGTGGTGACTCCCCCGTTTCTGTACTCCCCCACAGGCCCTGACTTTGCCCAGGCCATGCTCATTCCCCCCACACACCCCACCCCCCCCCCAGGCCTGGACATCACCCCACATTTGAAAGTCCAGTTCAGGTGCCATTTCTCCAGTGAAACTTCCCTGGGACACACCGGCTATAGGAATCCCTCCATACTGTGAATTCTCCTGAGTCCTGGAACCCTCAGCTGGCCCCCCGGAACATTCACAAATCACTGTAGGTGCGAAATCACCATTTATCGCTTCTTTTCTACAAGAAAGCGCTCGCTGAGTAACAGCTGAATATAAATTAAAAACAAAACTCCCTGGGAGAATTACTAAAGGCACGAAGAGACATTCAATTCTCAAAGCTGTTCATCCTCTTAGACATTCCAAAGCTCCCTTTGGAAACACCACGTTGCAACATCACCATCACCACAGCCTTAGAGAGAGGGCTGAAACTCAGCGGCTCTTAGCCAACAGCGAATGGGATCCAAGAAAAGGTGGGATTTTGCTGCAGTCACTTCGTATGTGAGAAAGGAAGACTATAAAACGTGTCCAAAGTATAAACATGGGATGTGTACAATGCTGGAGAGAAGAGAAAGTTATGCACTCAAGAACTTAACTCAAATGTACAAATTAGAACAATCAAGTGCCTGTACGCACACAACCTTCACTTATGAATGAAGATGAAATTAATATAAAACACTTATCAGTTAAAAGTATCAACCCGTATCTTTGAACACTCTAAACAGTAGCTAATTATGATAGATTTAGAAAAACAAACTTTTCCAATTCAGGGTATTACAAATAACATATCTGCTCCTTTAACACACAAACAATAAAATGCATGATTAATTTTTTTCCCAACTTATCTCAATGTTCTCTGCACTCCTACATTAAGCTCAATCTGATTTCCAATCATATTTCGCTTTTAGACCTAACTATCCCCTAAGGAAACCATATCTATGAAAAAACAGATATTAATAATACATAAATTTGTCTTTTAAGAATGCTCCTACTTGATGGCCTGCTAATTTCTATGTTAGCGTTAAACAGGTCAAGATAAAAAATTCAGAAAAGGGTACTGGTTCTTCAGTTTGTAGTTAAGCTGTCCCCGTAGGCACTGCGTGTTGGAGTTCACCCATGAGCCGCTCACCCAGCCAACTGAGGCAACACCAGACAAATACGCTTTGGGTGCTTCTTGCTCCCTTCGCCCCCCCTCCCCACAGGACGCTTGACGTGAAGAGCAGGTTAATAACACACCAGCTTCATTCTCTAAAGTGAACCGAAGGTGGCACCACAAATTCATTTTTCAGCGTTCGTAAAACAAAGTCCACCGACGCTGCGCGCATTATTGTTGCTCAGCGGCAGAAACCGCCTTCTCACGCCTCAAGTGGGGCACCACCACAGACCGCCATGGGCACTGGCACACGGTCTCATCCCCAGCAAAACAAGCCACAGGGCTTTAAAACGTGCTAATGATGGGAGACCCCTTCTCTCCGTCCCTCTTTTCACACACCCGAGAGGCCAGAGCGGAAAGCGAGCCCCTTGCCCCCCCGTCAGAGGTGGAGACGTGACCCTGGACGCCTCCTCCTGGGGGCAGCCGCCCGCCGAGATGGAATGACCCACTCTCCTCGATGAAGCAGGCTTTCTCGGAAGACATGCCATTTTATCACCTCTTAGGTACATTAAATATGTATGTGTACTCAAAAACGGTTTATAATAGCTGTAAATGAAAAATGAGAAAATAAATGGGCTCAAAATAAATGCGTTTTTTACACTGCGTAACAATTAACATTAATGAGGACTCACCATACGTTATGCCGAACTTGGCTGATTAAATGTGTTAGAAATATATTTTAGGAAAATAAAATATATTTTGTTACTATAAACTCACTTATTGTGGGTGTGTGTGTGTGTAGGAGGGGCGAGGGAAACCAACTGAGCAGATGCTTATCAAACATATAAGAATAACAACATTAAAGAATCAAAAATTCGTAATTAGTGTTAACAGCACAGCTTACACCTATTAGAAATGTATTAATTAAAGTGATATATTCATAAGGTCGGAAGCTTAATACATTTCTAAGAGGGAGAGAGGAATCCCCAAGGTGTAAAAACAAACATAAAAAATTAAGGAGTCTGAATTATCCATGTCTGCTGAACACCAATTTTAAACACAGACATTTCTGTGCAGGCTCCTCACTATTCCTACAGGTTGCCAGGGCCATGCATGTTGAGCCTGTCGGTAAGCAGTAAGGTCATTTCCAGTTGTCTAACTGTTGGCGGAATGCCCCCGAGCCATACACCTTCCCACGTCCCTACCTTGTGGAGTCCAGCGAGGGCTTCGTCCGCCCCTGGCTACTCTCCTCCCAGACGCTGTTGGCCAACTCATTCCCGATGGATGACATCACCTTGATGAGCTCGATGGGCCAGTCGTCGAGGTCCAGAGACCGGACTCGAGAAAGGTGGGTGCCTAGGTTCCGGTGGATCCCCGAGCACTCGATGCACATGAGGGCTCCCAGGTTCAAACTGGCCCAGTTAGGATCTGTGGGAAGAGGAACAGGGGGTCAGACCATCACCACTCATTCTAACCGCCCTTAGGATCTCAGGAACAAAGAGGCCAGTTGCTAGACCTCACACCCAGCAGTCCCTCCCTGGAATCACATGGCCTGGAAATGCTCCCTGGCCAGGACTCCATAGCGTCTTAGGCATCTCAGAAGGTTGGATATGTTGGGGGCGCCTTTTGACAATCTGGCTTCGGCCAAAGCCTAGGAATTTCCCTACATGATAAAAACAGCTGCCGGCAGTGATTTGGACAGAGAAATGCATTTCCCAGTTCCCTGACAGTAGCATTCTCGAGAGCGCAGATGCACGTGGAAAAGAACCATACATGACTTGCATCTACTGTGGCTGCTGATGGAAGGAAAGAGAGCACTCGAGAGCGCTACGGCATCCCTTGTAAACAACTACCTCAGCAACCACAGGCATATCTGAGTTCTCAATAGTCATAAAATGGACACATTTGCAGATTTCAAAGCCAAAAGGCAGGCAGGCACACGACAATGAAGACATGGTTTTCAGCGATCTTACATAAGGGGGACCACTGGAGTAACTCCGACTTATCTACTACTGCTGGCAAGATGGTGGGCAGGGTCCACTGGTTAGGTGATGACCTCGCTGGATCAACCCTGACCTGCAGAGTGAATGGCAGCGCTTTAGGCTGTGACGATGCACCAAGGGCAACGAATGAGTTTAGGGGATACAACTTGAACCCTTGAGCTGGGTCACGCCCAGTGTGAAACTGGCCGGCAGCACTGGAAGACTGAGAAGGCAGGCCCCAGGTGGGCTGCGTGCCAGATTCTAGAGCTGAGGGGGATTTGCAAAGATAGCTCTCACCTTGACAGCCAATGGCTTTGACCACCGACAGAATCAAGTAAGGTTTAAGTCATCCAGGAATAATCGGTATTTACTCCAGGTCCCCTTGAAGAGTCAAGGGGCCTTGTACCCATTCACCAGAAATCAGCCAGCCATTTGTTTCGTATCTCATACACACCATGGAAAGCGGTGATGGATACCATGGGGGAGATGGAAGAGAAGAGAGGTCCGTGACTCAGAGACATTGTGGTTGGGAAGAGGAAATGTACGTCCCAACTAATGACAGCAATAGTCAACCATAAAAATAAACAGAGTAAGGAAATGCAGACTAAACACTGAAGGGTACAGTTAAAGAGTAAATGTACAGGCAGAGTGGGAAGGAAGAGGTCGGCCATCACAGGTGAAGGAAGGAGGGCTGCATGGAGGAGGCTTAGCCTGGGCCTTGTGGGATGATCAGAGAGGAAGGTGGGGTGGTGAATGTTTTGCGGGACACCCCTGCTGCGCCTCTTCACAGCCCTACTTCTACACCCACCACCTCTGTGTCTGTACCTCTCGATCCCAACCTGGCCTCTATCCCCACCTTGCCGCTGGAGCAGGGCAGCCAAAGTCACCAGGTCACGCGAAATCTGAAGGGCTGTGTTTAACCATCATTTCACTTGATCTCTGGTTAGCCCTCCTTACTACACTGCCTCCAGATGCCTTTTTGGTCGGTACCCTCCCTGGATCTTTCTAGCACTTGTCTGGCTCCCCATCTTGATTTCCTTCCCGACTTTTCCTCCTGAACCCGCCCCTTACCTCAGGGGGTCCTGTAGGCTTGTCTCTTGATTCTATACTCTTTCCTAAGCCAACTCAATGCAACCCACAGATCTCGGTGTTACCCGATGGTTAACAACTGTCCACAGCTACCATCTGCCTCAGTGAACACAGATACGCTCCTCTCTCCATGCTGCACACGTGACTACCGTCATACATTTCCACTTGGAAATCCTGCAGGGACCTCCCGGTCCACGTTTCACTGAACGTCGTCTCCTGCCAGGGGCAACCCCATCCCAGCAAATGGCACCGGTTCACCGGTTACTTAAGCCGGGATCCTGGGACTCGACCCTGATTCGCCATCGCTCCCACAGCCAGCCAATCACCAAGCACCTCAGTCTCTCAATGTCCGTCCCCTTCCTCCTGTCCCCGGTGCTCCCCACACGTGCCCCGTTTCACGGCACCTTCCCTGCGGAAGGGGTAGGGTCAGGGGTGCCAACCTCTTCCCGTTCGTGACCTCTCTGCATAGCTTGCCCCGGTGTATAGTTTCAGGTGGAGAGAACAGCCCAATAACAGCAAGGGACCTGTCCCCAGGGCTGGCGTGAGGCGGGGCACACGTCCTAGGAAGCCGTGAGGTTCCCGTGCCCACCTCCACCCATCACCGAGCACCGCTGGTGAATACTTTCACACACTGTCCCCAGGGTCACCGCATGCCGCTCACTTGAGCCGTGTGAAGTCTCTCTCACCAGGTGCCACTGCCCGCCCCACCACTGCAACCATTCTCCAAGTTCTCCTATGGGCACAGGACCCCACCACCCCCGACCCCCGGTTTAGAACTCAATGCACTGTTGGGGCTCCTGGGTGGCGCAGTTGGTTAAGTGTCTGACTTCAGCCAGGTCA